TCTTCAAACAAAACCTTTGTTACAGCATTTTATCTTCATGCTAAAGTGCAGGTTTGAATACGTTTATGATGCTGTGTTCATATTTAGCAGCACAGCTTGTCTTGCTGTAACAGATTAAACAGGTGGTGACTCCATGCTTAGTAATCAGTAATTGGGCTTTCAGTAGGCAACCTTTAAAGTTTTGATTTGTTAGGACATCACATTTAATTGCTGGTGATATCACAGCCTAAATAAGTCTTTATTGGCACATTGATATAGTCAACCAATACTGGCTGGGTTGGACTATAGAGAAGAGTTTTTAGATGTGAAGAGCCTCATGAACCTGGTTTGTAGCTCATTTAAGAAGACTGTCCAAAGAGGGAGCTACTGGCACAAAAAACAAACACACTGGGTACTCAAGGATGGTGCTTCACATCAATGACTGTCCTTTTATGGATGAAATTAAAAAAATGAAGGAATTTCTTATGTGAAGTAAAGCAGTGCTTATATATGTACATGTAACATTTACTGCAATTTAAGAGTTTTTCCTTTAGTTATGCTGTGTTCAAATGTTTGCAGTAGACTGACAACAGCGAACTGGATGCCCCATTGTTTTCTGGAAATTCTGCCACTGTCAGCAACAACATTCCACAGACTGCAGCGATAAGCGGAACGTTCCATCAAGAGTTTATTTTCCCAACTTTTGCCATCGACTGCAGCGATAAACAAAATGCAATAAACAATAACTGGACGCTGATTTTTAGGAGCCAAGGGCACCAAACATCTCGTTTAACTCCAGATGAACCCAGTATTATAGAAGAAAAACACAAGTGCAGAGCACCTCCTGCCTTTCTCCATCTAAAACAGCTCTCCTCTGGTAATCACTCAGCAGCACCAGTCACCATGGCAATGTCTGCATAGCTTCATGTCGCATTATCGCTGTGAAGTGTGGAATGACTTTCAATGCAAACATCTGAACGCATGATGATTTGTTATCTTCACAGAAAATGCACCAGTGATTTTTACTATAAAAGACTCAGCCATGCAGATATTTTAATTACTTTATTTGAGCAAGCATATTTTCAATGAGAACCTTCACAAACGCCAGTGTAAATCCGTCCTCGCCTCCCCTCCCAGGACACACCAGCCTTTCCAAAATAAAAGGAGTAAAATAAGGAATGCTATAGGGCTATATTCTCCCTATTTTTTTATGGAATTTCTTTAAAACACCAGATTTTACATTTTTTACTTTTTCCATTTTTCATTTTTTCTGACTTTTTTTTTTTAATTGACTAGGCCTAGCATCCTTCTCTAGACCTGGCAGTCTAGTTTAGTTTTTTTTCCTTTTTTTAAAATTATTTTAAATCTTTTTGCAATGTTTTGTGTTTTTTCAACGTTTAAATTTTTCCCCCCTCGGTGAAGCAAGTTTCGAAGTTCCGCCCCTGCAGAGAAAAGGCAACCATGAGAAAAAAAAGGTGGCATGGGTTGCAGCTGTAAAGCCTTTTGATATATTATTTGATGCATATAAAAATAACAGAAAACCATATTACCTCGGCTTAGACGCTTGGCACACCAGCAGAGTTGGTCACATTTTTCTGAGCGGCTTCCTTAGCCTGGTGAGCCTGGAGCACAGCAACTGCCTCATCAACCTGAAACACATTACACCACATTTAAACTACAATAAAAAGATAACTGTTACTCAATATTCACATTACCCCTCCCATGCTCACATAATTACACAGACCTAGTCATAGAGCTGCCAAACATTTGTCATTTCTTTCTTTCGCAATACCCAAATGGGTTTAACCAACCAGTTTATTGACTTAAGCGCATCACTATTCACTATTTCTGCATTCATGTTCATCTTAACTCAGACATTTACTCTCTTTACATTAGATATTTAGCCACAATTATCCAAAGCAAGCAAAACTCTTTAGTGAGTAAATTTACATCCAAAAGGTAAAGGCAGTGACCTTAGAGCGCAGAGACTCAGGAGACTCCAGCATGTGCAGCAGCTCAGAGTTATCGATCTCCAGCAGCATGCCAGTGATTTTCCCCGCCAGGGTGGGATGCATGTTCTGAATCAGTGGGAAGAGTCGCTCACCTGGAAAAGAAAATGTTACATTTGTAAACGGCAGAAAAACCTATGCTATAGGAATGGCTGTGGTTATTTGAATATGCAAGACATCCAAACTCTTCACAGTGTTCACACAGTTAATCAGGTATTCAAATAAAGCAGCTCAATATGGAATTCATCAAATCATGTATCCTGTTGTGATTTAGTTTGTGTAGAACTGCAGAAACAGATTTATAGATCCTTACTCTTGCTGGCTGCACAAACAACCATTAAAGTTGTGTTTTTATTCATAATGTTTGTGGACATCCAGATACCATGTTAAAAACATATATGCTGAAGGATAACATGCTTAAAAATTCTCTTAGGGTCACTCACCCAGCATCTGCTTTTGCTCTTGTGGAGGTGCTGCGGCCAACATGGAGGCTGTGAGAGGCTCCTGACCCTGCACGTGCACAGCAGGCTGAAGAAAAGGGTGGGGGGGAAGGGGAGAGAGAGAACACCACATATTAGTCCTTCTCCCTGTAGTGGACCTGCAGCCTATGCAAGTCTAAACAGTATGGAGGCTCACCTGCTGCATTGAGACCTGAGGCTGAGTGTTCATGTGCTGCTGTGGGTTGCGCACTCCTGCGGCATATTTGTACTGCGGCACGCTGCGCACTGGAGCTGCGGCAGCAGCTGCAGCAGTCGCAGGCCGTGGGCCCATTGTCTGTGCAGCTGGGGATGAAGAGAGAGATTAATACAGAGAAATTAACAGCACAGGGTGCAAACAGGTTAAAAAAAGGCTCTCCATCAACAGTTTTCCTGCAGGAGATATGCTCTTGCATCAGAATTCACAACTCAAAAAGGGGGTGTATGTTGTGAACATGGCTCAGTAAAAGAAAAATGAATTAATTAACTCACCAACACGCTGAGTGGACATCATGCGGGGCACCTGTGAGGTAGGCCTCATGGCACTGAATGTCTGAGGCCTGGGAGCTGATGGCCTCATGGTGGCTTGCATGTTCTGGAAGTCTAGAAGAGAAATACAGACACCACTGTTTACAATCTGAAGAATGAACTGACAAAAATGCAAAGTAGTTGATTTATGAAATTAAATTAGACTAAAGAATAATCTTTGGATTGATGGGCTAACTTTAGACTAAAGTATTTTCAAAAGCCAATCTTATGATTCTGTTTGCCTGTAAAGGTCCATACATATTGCAGAAATTAGGTTTCAGTGCTTGTACATAGCCCAATTATCCCCACGTATCTACTGTACCAGAAACATGGGGCCCATGGACTATCATCACTGTAGCAGCCATTTTGGCCAGTGTAGCCCACTGAGGGGGTTGCACCGAATTTGACAAGGCTGCAAGAGAGCAAGCTTACCAACTTAAGGACAGAAGAGTAATCTTAATTACTGAGCTGGTTACTCCAGCACCCTGACGGCACTTAAGCCTAAAGTGAAGTATTTTCAAAAATGTGAACTGGCAGTGTGATTCAGTCCAAACTAGTTTTAATCCATTACTGGAGAAACTGGGCCAAAATGTAGGTCAGAATGAAACCACCAATGTCTACAGGAGAACTTACTTTGAGGTCTGACACCCTGGGTAGTCCAACGTGGGCTTGGTCGGAGCTGGGCCAGCTGACTTGTAGGGTAGTACGCTCTGTTCTGCGCCTTGGGATAAACGCAACACTAAAATGTTAGTCTCAAAAGTATATGTATACAAAACAGCCAAGTTGGGAAGAAACTAAATTTACGTAGTATGCAATAATAGTAAGCCACAGTTTGTTTATATATGTATATAATTGTACCCATTCAGATGCAACTAACAGCTGCGTTACATTCAAAGCTTGGAAAAAATTAAATGGCTTAGTACAAAGCACTGCTAGCATGAACGCTGCTCTCCACATAAAATACACAAGAACAGCAGTACAGTATGGCAAAACATTGGAATATTCCATAACAAATGGCTTTGATAACATGTTTGTTGCCATCCAGTTTTGAGTTGGTTGCTGGTAAACAAAGCACCATTATGAAGCTCAAACTAACCACTGCTTGCTTCCATACTTTCAGCTTAATGATGTACTGAAAACCACTGACAACAATACTTATGAAAATGCCAACCTGCGGAATGGCAGCCATGAAGTATCCAGACGGCGGGGCAGCCTGGTACGGGTTGAGGACAGGGTTGGGCACAGCACGGACACTGGCCATTCTCTGCATGTACTGGTTAGTGAGGTGGGCCTGGCGCTCCTCTTTACGTTGAGCCAGGGCCACATACAGCGGCTTTGTAGCCACGATTCGCCCATTCATTTCCGTCACAGCTTTGGTGGCCTCTTCAGGGGACGAAAAGCAGACAAAACCGAAGCCCTTGCTGCGGCCTCCGTCCATCATAACCTAAAGAGGAGAGACAGCGTGAGAATTTTAATGGATCAGCATCAGTTATGAAGCCCAGTTCAAGCCTCATCCTCTGCAAATGCTATTTTTGTTTACATCACTGGGCCAATAGACATCATCCAAGTAGTAAAAAAAGGGTCTCTGATGGGGGAAATACCTTGGCACTGGTGATTGTTCCAAAAGGAGAGAACTCTTTGCGCAGACGTTCATCATCGATGCCATCATCTAAGTTCTTCACATAGAGATTGACACCCTAGAAATTTAAAGCATAAAAACAACTTATAAAAACTTAACAACTAAGATTTAAAATCAAGGACATTAAGGCATAGCTCTACTTAAAAAGTTTGAAATATTACACAATTTTCTCTTTACCCCAAACATTTGGTGTCCAGGGTTTGCTTCCTTAGTCGTACACAGAAGCTACAAGTCTAATGTTACTAACGAGTAATGAAAGAACAAAAAACCCCACAAAAACAAAACCTTGGACACCAGATACATTTCATAATTTTTCAGCTGTTTGGGAACCATCTCCCTCATCAGTTCTGGGGGGAATAAGGTTTCAGCGGTTGTACATAGCCCTATTTATCCCCAGTATCTACTGTACTAGAACATGGGGCCCATGGACTACCTCCTCGCTGTAGCAGCCATTCTGGCCAGTGTAGCCCACTGAGGGGGTTACACTGAATTTGACAAGGCTGCAAGAGAGCAACTTTTAATACGTTTTCAACCAGACTGACCTGATAACGGGTCATACGATCCTGCTTCATCTGCTCAAACTTGCGCTTAAGTTCGATCTGACGCTCCACCTTCTTCTGAGCACGACCAACATAGATCAGCTTCCCGTTGAGTTCTTTTCCATTCATTTCATCCACAGCCTGGATCAAAGATCAAAGAATGAGTGAATGAAGCAATCCTCTCCATTAGGTACAATTTAAAACAATCTGTTGAATATGCATGATTATGCAAATTGGCACCTGCAGTGCACATGCGAACATTAGCCAGGTAATAAACAAGAAAATTATTTTTAAAAAAACAAATTTTTGAACAGAATCTGTTCATGGAACAACCAAAATTGATTTTAGTAACTAAAATACCTCGGACACAAATCTATATAAAAAGCTATCCAGGAGTGAATCTTAAATTACACCTCTTAAAAGACTACATGCAAAAGGCCTTCAAGAACAGCAAAATGCATTTCAGTGCTTAAGATATACTAACCTTCTGAGCATCCTCATGCCTCTCAAAGCTAACGAAGCCAAAGCCTCTGGATTTGCCGGTGTCGTCAGTCATCACGCGGATACTCATGGCATTGCCTAGGAGAGAAAAAAATAAATAAAATTATATATGCGCACACACCTTGGCTAAGCTCAATGCCTAAGTTTAGTAATAGTTGTTCACTGCTGTGTCAACGCTGAGGCCAAGTGTTTAAAAACGTCAGGCTTACCATATTTGCTAAAGACCTCCTTCAGTTTCTCGTCATCCATGTCTTCCCCAAAGTTTTTGATGTACACGTTGGTAAACTCCTTTGCTCTGGCTCCAAGCTCAGCCTCGCGTTCTTTGCGAGATTTGAAGCGCCCCACAAACCTGCAGTTACATTTAGTTTAGAGATGAGCGCTTTCCTGTAATAAGCACTGTTACAAAACCAACATTTAGGCATAAGATGCTGCTGTACAAAGCTATTCTACAACCCAGAACACACCAAAAACAATGCATGTTAGTTTCTACACAACTACTGGTCAGTAAGTGACAGTCCAATTGGCTTATCCATGCTCTAACCACAAATGCATTATTTTTCATACCTAATGCTTTTGAATAGAATAAGATTCACAGAATGCTGGTAAAAATCCTCTTAACCTCATGAGAAACTAGCGCACAATTCTGTTTGTCAAAATCGCCACATTTAAAGTGTGCCATTAATTTAAAACGATATTTTGTGTGTTAAGTGTCACACTTGGGACAGATCAGGACGATTTATTTATAGAACTGTTAACATGGTAGCTAATTGTGTTCTCACTTACAACGAAAAAACAAAGCTTCGATTAGAAATAACACTCCAATTCACTAGTGCAGCGTTTTAAACTGCACGTCATATAGCAACTTGCACTGTAGGAGGCCCAAAGTGAATAAACTGAGCGTGCTCAGGGCAAATGAGCCTTTTACCAATGCTCTGTAAACCTTGTCCAAACCCACAACCCTCGCTATGAAAGAATGCATTTGTGGGCAGAGCATGGACAGTTTGAAGACACCGGCACCAAGAGCTCACTTACACTTTTCTGTCATTGAGCAACATGCCGTTCATTTTCTCAATGGCCCTTTCAGCTGCCTCCTGGGTCTCGAAGTGTACAAAGCCATAACCTTTTGAGCCATTTTCATCACAAACCACCTTGGAAAGAAGACAAAGGGGAGCAAACACAAATCAAAGTCATGCGGCCACCACAAGCAGTCATGCACAAAGTCAGATGAGAAGCATCAACAGTCCACCAGTGCCTAATGAGTCTTACCTTGCAGGACAAGATGTTGCCAAAAGCAGAGAATGTGTCGTAAAGGGCCTTGTTGTCAATAGACTTGTCCAAGTTTTTGATGAAGATGTTGCCAACTCCACTCTTCCTCAGCGAAGGGTCACGCTGGGACCACATGATGCGGACAGGTCTGCCCTTGATCACGTCAAAGTTCATTGTGTCCAAAGCACGCTCAGCTGTAGTTGTGGGGGGAGAAAAATTCTTGATTTAGTGTTTGTTCACAAAGCTTTCAATTACAAGATAAACTCAAAAGATGCCTCAAATATGTTGTTCAGGTGCCAACATTTTGTTAACTGCAAGACAAAAATCCAGCAGTTAGGGCTGAGCAATTGAGAAAATATCTAATTTGGATTTTTCTGACTATTATGGTCGCAGATTTATATTGCGGTTATTTTCTATAAACAAGGCTGCAATCCAGGTACTTTGGCCAAAAAGTCCAGAATATGTACTTTTTCTTGCTTGAGACTTGAACATTGAATATAGTGTGCCTGATTGGCAGTTTGCTATGGTTGAGATGTCACAGTACATGTGTGTTTGGTTGCTTCTGATTGGTTTTACTCGCCTACAAGCAGCTCACAAGTTACTGGGTCAAATTTCGCCACTTAATTCAGCTGCTGATAATGTAGGCTCAAGTTAAAACTGCAGCTTCTGCGATTTTAAAATTGCAGTCTTTCAAAATGCATTTGATATAAAATGATTAATCTTTGAGCCCTGCCAGCACTATAAACATTTACTTGGTAGCTAAACAAAGCACACTGCATTTATTTTATACTCATGTTAACGCCTTATTCTCTGTTCATATTGCACTTTGGTTTCGCTATCCGGTGTCAACCAGAAAAGGATGGGTTTCCCTTTTAAGTCTTGGTTCCTCTCAAGGTTTCTTTCTCTTAGTCTTAGGGAGTTTTTCCTTGCCACAGTCACCACTTGCTCGAGGGGGCTTGGACTCAGATTTTTCTGTAAAGCGGCTTTGTGACAATGGCTGTTGTAAAAAGCACTATATAAATAAATCTGGACATGTTCTCAGGAGCCAGCCCATACAGTACAACATTCGGATCCTACACACGCAATTACATGACAAAAAATGAATTACAATGGAAGTGCTTAGAAATGTAAATTAGACAAATAGCTTGCCATCCTCAAACAAAAAGCAAGAAAGTCCTTTCATTGTTCCACTTGCAGTCACTCGCCTTTATCTTCTCACTCACTGCATTCTCACTATCAGAAAACGTGCTTGTGTAAAACAGGCTACACAGATGCATACCTTACTGATCTACCTATTAGTCCTTTCCGCACAAGTAGTTTAAGGCATAACCTGTTACCCCAGATAAGGATTTGACCATGGTACAAACTGTAGTGATGCCCTTCCTTCACATTTAAGTCCAGTTTATCATATGGAATACAGCCTTTAAATTCCAGGAAATGCTGCAATGATGAACCACAGATTTAATGGAATCATCCAAAATTTAACACTGAGATGGCTAGGGATGACTAATGCACAGATCATAGTTCTCCAAGGACTATAAGGCTATAAGTATTGCATGGTATTAAGCTCCACTTTGAGTCTGATCACATGTTTCAACAGTTTTAACCACACAGGGAAGGAAATGTTCTTTAACCCTTTCACGCACAGTTCTGTAATCAGTGATTTAGGTTTCAAATTGACATGTTATACTGTTTGGAGGTTGAAAAAAAGGATATCCAATAAAGTATAAGTTTGAAATAAGCAGAAAACAACAATCAACAGCAAAAAAACAATCCAAATATACAAGCGTATCCTTCCTTTTGCCAAGATCAATATGCAAAAGTTGATTTATTGACTGTATAATAATATATTGGGACATTTTGCTCACCTGTGTGCTTTGGGCTGGTTCAGCAAAACAAGCAAATTTAGGTTTTCCCACTTGCCCCAAATGTAATCGGTTAGTAAAGACCTGTTTAGAAGCAAACTTAAGAGCTATAGTTTGGCATCAGATCTACAACACTAGCGTATGAATCACTGGAAATGATCTGGCGTCACAGGCCTATATTACTTGTTAGCTACATTAGCACGTACCTCTAGTACTAAAACAAGCAGCAAAGTTCAGAAACAAAACATGTTCTGGCTGATTACATTTGGGCTAAGTGGGGGAAACTAAATTTGATTTTCTGCCAAACCGTCCCTCCCATCTGGGTGGGCTGTAAACCCTATCTTGCTCTTCCACGCAGTCAGGCCTTCAGTTTCAACTCCGACATGCTAGCAAAGGCCATGTGCGCCTAGAGCACACATGCTTTTGGTCAACATGGAGGGAAACTGTTTCACGCTTTATTAAACTGCCCTCACATCTAACTGACCTCCCCAAACCCCTATGATTCAGTATTTGAGCCTGTTAAAGCTGCTCCTTGCTAATGAGCTTAACACATGGTTAGCACTGAGGAGCTAGCAGGCCCATGCTGGGTAGGCCCAAACCAGCCAGCTAAATAACCTTCATTAAAATAACTTTCATTTTCATACAGGGAAGCATCTCCAAGTGCTTTCCAGCCATAATAATGTCAAATTATAAATGTTGAATAATAAATAGCATAAAGCAAGCAAAGGCATGAATTTACAGTTAAGATCACAGCCTTTAAGAAAAGGTTTCTCATAACTAAACTGATGTCAATGCAGATTAATGCAGAGTCCCATCTAGACAGCCTAAACAGATTAATGTGCATTTTTAAGGGGCAGAAAACAGAACAGAAAGTGAGGTTTCTTGGTCAAAGTGCCAATGCAGAGTAACAGAACATGCTACAGAAAAACTGATGTGTCTATACAAAATGCAACATACAAACTAAACCGTGAGGAGTTAAGCAAAGACTTAATGACCATGTCAGACTAGGGAAGCCCACCTTTGGCCCTAAGAGATGGGAATACAGCACAGTTTGAGAGTTTTCACCATAATTACTTAGACATTACCAGCAAACTATCACCTTAACATACATAGAGATACACAACTGAATGAACTCAAACACTCACTGAGCAAATGGTGGCTTTCACAAATAGCTGAGATATTTCCATAATGAGACTTCCCTATTCTAGCTAGTTATAGCTAAAGAGGAATTCCACCAATTCTTCAAAAAAAGAGGTTTGGTGTGAAGTGGTTCAGATTTCTTTACAGTGGTGGTGATAGGATCCAGGGGTCGACATAACATTTTATTTACTAAC